CTCTCTCTCTCTCTCTCTCTCTCTCTCTCTCTCTCTCTCTCTCTCTCTCCCCCCCTCTCTCTCTCTCTCTCTCTCTCTCTCTCTCTCTCGCTCTCCCTTCCTCTCCTTCTGTAACATAATGAACTGCCATGCTAAATAGCCCTATTAAATTATCTACCTCTGCTCAGAACTCAGGCGAGTGGCTTTTGCAGCAAACAGGCAAATAATTCACAACAATTCACTTAAATTTAGAAGCAATTTCATTTCTATAAATAGATAATGTAAACGGACCAGCAGCAATTGGCAACCCTGCTGTGAACCCATTGACTGTCCATCCATGTAAGACCCAACTCTATATATCTTTTTGCTGCCCATTAATATTGTCCACAGAGCCTTTTGTGCTGGGCGTTCATTCAACTTATAGCCAAGAGCAGTAGCAGCAGCAACAACAACAACAACAACAACAACAATCGCTGTGACAAGCGACATGCAAAAAAGAAAAAATGCCGGCATGGAACTGAAACTGAGACGCAGTGAGTCCTGCCCAAGCCCAAGCGAGAGAGTGGAGCTTGGGGGTTGGGCATGGGGCCAAGGGAGGCAGACAAAAGTGTAGTAAAAACTGTGCGCAAAAGTGTGTCGACTTGGCAACAACAACAACAACAACAACAAGAGCAACAAACAAATGAAATAAAAGTAAACCCATTTACACCACAGCCAGAAGAACGATGAGCAGCCCATGAACTGTGAGAAGGGACAGTGGGTGTGGTTAACTCTATGTGTGTGTGTGTGTGTGTGTGTGTGTGTGCTGGACGGGTGTGAGATGCTGCGGTGGCGCCAGCTGCTTGGCAAACGGCAAATGTGGGGCATTTGGCAGTCGCCGTTGCAGTTGCAGTCGCCGTTGCAGTCGCAGCTGCAGTTGCTCCGTCACATTGTTAACTTTCTTTGACAGCGGGCCAAAAACGTGGACCACCCGTGGAATGAATATCAGAGATGAGAGTGTATTGCATCAACTTTTACTACAAATTCTGTTTCGTCACGTCTTCTCCAGTCCTATCGCTGGGAAGTCATCTCTGAGTCATGTCAAGTCACATCAAATTGAATTTTATATAATATGTTATACAAATATACAGTCAATATAAAACTATCAGTATACAAGTATTGCTTGTGAAATTGTCATCTCTAAGAGGCCTTCAAAGGTAGTCCTTTCTATTTTATATAGAGCTATGATCAACGAAACTAAGTCGAATCTGATGCAAAATTAGATTTGACATGTTAACTCGGCTAGATATAAATCGTACTTTTTTCATATCATTGAAATCGTTAGATCATACTAAATAGGAATTTTCATTTGTGTCTTGGTGGGTCTTAAGGCTTAAGAAGTTCTGTATATATTATATATGTATATATATTAAATTTTAAATCTAAAATAATCATTATATAGCTTAGCATCTCAGCTGAAGAGCTCTCGGCTCATTCGTGTCACGAGTTTCTTTCCTTACTCCCAAACAAATATATAATACATTTCATAATTACTATATCACTCGTGTCACGCACGACTCGTGCTCCTCTCTATCGCTTCGAAGGCTCGATAGGTGTGCGCATGATTTAGCATGTGTTAGTCGCTCGCTGCTGCTGCTGCTGCTGTTGCTGTTGCTGTTGCTGTTGCTGTTGCTGTTGCTGTTGCTGCTGCTGTTGCTGTTGCTGTTGCTGTTTTAGTATCAGCTGAAAAACAGTCAGCAGGACTGACATGACCAGACGAGGCCTGCAATGCAATAGCAAAAATAACAAAAATGACAACAGCACGAGCAAAAGCAACAACAACGATAACAACAACAACAACAACAACAGCATGAGCGACAGCAACTTTGTGTATTTATGGCACGAAATTTGCAGGCACAGCAGCAAATTAACACAATGCGAATCCTGGCCAGCCTGTTGCCTTTCTCATGCCGATTGCGTTAAATTGATTATTTGGTTGCACAGCAGCCAACCACACACACACACACACACACACATCCACAAACACACATACATTCCTATCAAATACAATACATTCAATTCCGAACGACTTGGTCATGGCCAACACCATTGCATTGTTGTCCTGCCTGGTGATGTCCTGGCCCGCTGTTCGCTACTCCCTGCCCACTGCCCACTGCCCACTGCCCTCTGAGTGCTTCACTGCTGATATGCATAAAAGCCGCATTCCGAAAGGAGGCGTGGCAGCCGCACACGCACTTATCGGCATTCACAGCACGTCGGCACTGACGTGGCCCAATGGAGTGCACAAAAATGCTTATAAAGGGATTAATTCGATTGCAATATTCACAGTTGTATTGGACCGCACTCCGGCCATGGCTTCAGCTTTCCGAACGTAGCATCGACTTCGCTTCTGCTGGCACTCGCTGCCCATTGTCGGTCAGCGGCATTGTTTTAATTGTCCGGCTCGTAATGATTTTTTATGGCTCTCACCACCAATAACAATTTGCATACAGCTTTTTAATCTAGTCTACAATCGGGCATCGTTCAATCCAACGAGTGTATGCATATACATACACGTACATATATATGTGATCTGTGAACTCTTGAAATATTATTATTGCCTTTGTGGCAATCTGTAAATTATATTTATTTGCCAGATGTTTCCTCATGTTTGACTAAATAATATTATAAAATACAAGCAATTTTAATTGCCCATTTTCTACATTCCTTTTACAGCTGCCTTTATAAATGTCGATTTCTGTGGATTTGTCATCTCTATTAAGTCTCATATGTCATAGAAACATTCCCAGCAATATTTACGGGCATTGTCTAAAGCATTTAAATATCTAATTGCACACACACACACACACACACAAGGCTCAAGTGTTAGCTGACCATTTCAAAAAGACGAAATTTGAATACAATATACACATACACCTATAAACACCCATACACCTATATACGCATACACCTATACATAAATACATACACATATACATACATATAGTTACATGCACAAGTTTGTGCTTCTCTTCTTAATTGGTCCAATTTGATTTTGAATTAAATTTCACACGCATCGAGTAAAAACGTCTCCAACTGTGCGTGTGCGTGTGTGTGTGTGAGTCAAGGTGTGGCATTTAACATTTGAGAAATTAAATTTGGACCGCTTCAGTGGCAATGCATGCGTGTGCATGAGAAGGTCAGGTGCAGATTCAATTTATGGGAATTAACATGCATTAAGATGTCTTGGGCAGATATTCAAATAATTCGTTTCTGGCGCATTAGGCTAAGACAAATTATGGTGACTGGAATGCCTGTTAATAATATTAACAATTCACATTTTCTCTTGCAGTCCATTGACAGCCTGAAGCAGCGGCTCATCCAGCTATTTGGCATCGATCTAGACATCTGGGCATTGAGCTTGTGCCTAGCCATGGGCACCGGACACTACTTCTGGGCGATCTTCTACTTTACCAGCCTGTGCAGCGCTTCCCTGTAAGTAGACGTCTTCCTTAGCGAACATGCATCATATACAGTAGATGCCAAAAGTATGCCACTCTATGTTTTCACTTTTGTTCCGTTTTTCTTTCACGCTTTAATTTTGTTGCTTTTGATTTTTGACTTCATGTTGCACTCGAGTGTTTGTGAGTGCCGCTCCAAGCGGGCAATTTGCATACAAATGCCGTTAATTTTCCAGATGGCCACGCCCATGGCCCAAAGAGGCTGTAGTGCCTGGCACACGCATCTAGAGTGTGTGTCGTATATGAGATACATGATATGTACATATATTTCAAGTAGTGCTTTAGTCAGTTGTAGTTCGCTTATTCGCTTCGCCTCGCCCCGCCCCGCCTCTGCCGCCTATTTACACCCATCCCAGCAACGCCCGCATTGCCATAACATGTTTTTATGCATTTCACACACTTTCACTCCTCTTTACAAACATCGTCATTAAAATGTAATTAATTTTCATGTAATTTTTGTCGGAGCATAAATTTTGGAATTATTTACGCTCAAGCCGAGGACAGAGCCGGCCAGCACACCTTTTGTGGCTGGGCTTTGTCGAGGCTTCTGATAAGTGCGACAGTGTATAATGCAGACGCCGATTCTGGGTCCACAATCGAACACACGACACTCAATTTGTATATAAAAGCCAAATCGAAAAGCCGAACAAATTTCAGCCAAGTTTCACTGCTGTAAATTATTATGCGAATATATATTTTTTTTATGCAATTCTATACTAAGGAAAATATTACAACAAATTTGTTCAGCATCTTTTTCAAAACTACTTCAATTAATTGCCCAACAACAAATTGTACACAAACCCAAAAACAAAAACAATAAAAAAAATTATAATAATAATATTGAATCAATTGAAAAGCAAAGCAAAATTAAAATTATACGTGCGTACCTATCCATATCCTGATTTCAGAGCAAATAATGCCAAAATAAATTTCCGAGAAAAGGAGAAAAAAGTCTTAGATCAAATTTTAGGTGCAGGCAAATACGATGCCAGAATTCGACCATCGGGAATAAATGGCACAGGTGAGCATATACTTTTACCAAGCACTGTATAACAAGACATACTGTACCTCTATGATAACTTCTACTAAAACTAAAGTCTTTATCATTTTACAAATTATCTTTTCATTTTTTAAATTTATACTACAATTAAAAATGCTAACAAGAATTGGTATTATTATATAACTATTGTATATTTCTAAGTCTCTGTTAAGTACTTTTAACAAAAAACAAACACAAAAAAAATTAAAAAAGCTAAATTAGTTTAGAGAGACCTCACGGTGACCTAATCATTAGCTTAGCCACATAATAATATATCATTTGAAACGCTATTAAGAAAAACTCACAATTTAAACCAACCAAACTCTATGCCAGATGGTCCCGCCATAGTCAGAATCAATCTATTCGTACGCAGTATAATGACGATTAGTGATATTAAAATGGTAAGTCACATACTAGAGTGAGCCAAAAACAAAAACAAAACAAAACAAAAAACTAAAAAAAATAAAAGTTGAAAAAAATACGAATTGATAACAAAAACCTTGGCCAATAAATTCGATAGACCCAATAGCAATCTCGCCCTATTTCGCTCGCTCTCTCTCTCTCTCTCTTTCTCTCTGTCTCACATCAACAAGCACACCATTCGATATGCAGTACACTATAGAAACTCCCCATCCATAACTAAGCATATTAAGCATATCCAAATGATTTTGGTAGTAATAACAGCGACTAGAACCACACAGCTGAATGCTCTATGCAACTCTGCTCACACACAGACACACACACACACACATACACATATATAACATATCTATATAGATAGACGCAACTCACTCACATCTACATATATACTAAGCTAAGCAATAGCTCAAATAAAATAAAAGAGATTTTACACTTTGTTTGTTTTTGCGTTGAAGTTGTGTTTCTAACTTTCTCTATCTATTCATAACAGTCTCTCTCTTTCTCTCTCTATCTATCTCTCTGTGTCCCATCCCCTCAATCTCTTTTAGACATTCCATATTGAAAATACCTAGCTGACCCTTCTCCCCCTCTAGACCAATCTCCCTCCGTTTTTAACCCTATATATAACTTTGTTTGCTGTTCTTTGGCTATTGGAATTTGCGTTCTTTACGTTTGTTTCATGTTCCACTTTCTTTTCATTTATGTTTTTTCTCTTTTCGTTCGTTCTGTTAGAGCAAAGCCACATTTATGGCACATGTATTTTGATACTCTTGTATGCATACATATCTAAAGTGCATATCTACATATACATCTACCTCCATGTATTTGTTCTATCTTTCAGTTTTGGTTTCACGCATATTTTAGAGAAAGCGTTTTTTGCATTTTCCAATTTCGTTTCGTTTGTTTTTTTCGTTTCTTGACTTTCATGTTTTTTGCCAAGGATACAATTACGCCAGCAAGCAACATTGTTCCTTCCATTGTATTCATATATATATATATATATAGAGAACTATTTGCTTATATACTACTTGCTTATATACTACTCAACTATCTACTACTACGACTACTACTACTACTACTACTACTACTATTTCAACTAGCTGCAGTCATAGCTGGCAGTTTTTGCTTTTTAAGTTCTCCTCTTTTGTGTTCAATTTGACATGCAAACGCATTAACTCTTAGACAACAAACACGCACACACACACACACACGCACGCACACAACTTTACACACGGGCCAAGTGCTGGAACAAGTCCTGATGCCTTGGCAAATCGATAAGTCATCAATTTCAAGTAAAATTTGGACATAAAACTGTTGCCTACTTCTGGGCTGAGCACAAAGAATTTTCTCTTCTGCTGGCTTTTAACACACACACACACACAGACACACGCACAGTCTCTCACTCAGGCAGATAAACACACACTTACACAGAATCACTTGTGAGTGCCCTGCAAACATGTAAACTCTAAAAGATAGTGTGGCAGAATGTAATGATGTTTCAGAGCCTCAAACTAGCATCTCTCTATGAGATGGAAAAATAAATAATTTTTTCAATTTGGCTAACCCCAATGCATATACTGAAAGCAAATCAGTTTTTCGAATATGGCCAAAGTTTTTCCATGGCGAACTGATTTGCTGTCCAGTATTTTTTGCAATGATAATTACCTTAGAATTCATATTCCTCATAGACGTTGATGATAGTATTTCATCATGTCTATACTTAAACAGTAAAAACCAGACAATAATTCTCATATAATATATAAAATGGCTAGAGCACTTATCTTACAATCGTCTATTCCACTGCACTTTTCAGTTTTGGTAGAAAATATAGGAAATATTTAAGTAATATCAAAACATAAAATTACTTGTGGAGCTGGCAGATTTCAAATATATATATATGATATGGATACTAGAAGAACTCGAGCAATCATCATAAAAATCATGCCTACATTTAAGTGGACTACGTGTAATCGTGTTTCTGTTAAATGTTTTTATAATGTAAATCAAGTTTTGCTCTCTCTCTTTCTCTCTCTCCCTCTCGCTATCTCTCTCTGTATTTATCTGTCTCTCACCCACCTTTTGGCCACATCAAAAAGTATTTAAATGTGTGTTTCGGGGGCTTATACAATAAAAATAAAATGAATCACCCTATAATTGTGTGCGTGTGTTTAAAAATTCACTATCCACTTAGCCGACATAGCTTTATTTCCAGTTTGATTGCATCGCAATTGGATTTTATTTCCAGTCGTGTGTGTGTTTCAGTGTGTGTAGCTGTCATGTTGACTCTTGCCGCAGCACTGACATCATTAAAATTACAAAAGTATCATCCATATGCATAAATATATGCTGCGGCCCACTCAGTAGTCACTTGTTAAAGTCAATAAAGCTAAAAAAAAAAAAAATAAATAACAACAACAACAACAAACAATAATTATTTGAACATCAATTAGCACATTTTTACAGCGTTTATCAGGTCTCATTCGCCATGCTCTACAGTCCTTTGTTTTGGTTTTCGTCACATTACAAATGTCACTCCCACGAAACTCATACACATACGAATACCTAAACTAACTTAGGATCAATTATGTATTATATATGCCAATCACAGCAATCTATGACTTTATATAAACTAGCTTATATTTCTAAGATATATCAAGAGAGCATAGTGATGCCATAACTAATTTTAAGCAGTGCATAGAAATGAAAATAAACTTTTATTACAGCAAAGAAATAAATTTAAAAAAAAAAAGAAACTCATAAAACCATATAGAAACCAGACTGGCCCAGAGCTCATTCGCCATTCTATATATATGATATGCTAAGTTTTTAGTACCACAAATTTAGCAGCAGCTGATGCAGCTGAAGAGGGAGCTGCATGGCCAGCCGGTCCGCTGCCAGTTGACCAGTTGTTAAATTTTGTTTATTACCCATTGTACAAAACGGTCTATCTATATGTATCATCCCTCCAGATGGTCCAGCCGTCGTGCGCGTCAACATATTCGTTAGAAGTATATCGAAAATCGATGATGTAACCATGGTAAGTGCGCGCAAAACTCAAAAATCCAAAAATAAATCAAAGTAGTTAAGAACCACAGACTCTCAGACCTTGCCCTTGCCCTTGGTCCCATGCCCAAACGTATACGTGTTTGTGTGAGTGCCACAAACTATGAATAAAGTCGTCTCTCAGAAGCGTTCGCTCTCACTCTTCTTTAGTGTCTCCCGCTCTCTTGCTCTCTACCTCTCTCACTCTCACTCTCTTTGTCTTTGTCTCTCTGTCTCACTGTCCATGTCAGGTTTGCTTCCCGTTACAGTGCGCGTATCTTATGTAACTGCCGTTAGTTGTTATGTCTTATCTATGACCAGGCGATTGACCAACAGAAAAACACAAATACCATTAAATATTATTAATAATAATAATTATTATGCTATATATATATATTATATCGGATATTGGTATTTAAAAACTATCGATGTTTTTTAATTTCAACTTATTTTGAATTCAATCAACAAATTATTTGCTTTTATTGATTCATAAAAACAAAATTAATATAAAAACAAATCAAAAATTTTGAAAAATTCTGTAAAGAAATTGTTGTTCCTCGTTTTGAACAATAAATTCGAATTGATTAGCGTTGTAATTAGATTGTGCATATTATATAAATTTTAGTTTTGTTTTTATTTTAAAGTTTGCATTGGTAATGTTAAGTTTTTTATTACATTTTCAATATATGTTTGCTCTACAAAAATGTAAAATAACAAACTTGTTTTGTAGTACGAAATGAAACAAAACATAAAGAAAATGTCTTTTTGGATCTCTATCTCTCCCTCTTTCTCTCTATCTATCTCTATCTATCTTGTTATCTATCTCTATCTACCTCTATATATAACTCTCGAATATTTATAGCTCACACAAATTGTATGTCTCTCTCACTTTCTTTATTTTGACCAAATTACATTTAAATCTAGTTTTCATTTTACGACTTTAATCATCTTGTAACTATCAACCTACCAAATTTTCCATCTCTCTCTCTGTGTCTTTCTCTCTCTCGCTCTCTAAATATATAAATATATACCTGTCTCTCTCTGAGTTTCTCACATATTCACTCTCCCTAACAATAAACATTTATAAATTCCACTTAATGTTAATTATGCCTACATAAATTAACTTATTATCTTTATCGAATTTCTACTAATTGTGATGATAATGATGACTGCCGAACAACAGCTATTCGATTATATATACATATATCTATGTATATATATATACATACATACATTTATATTGCTGGTCCCATATACTGGCTGTCGTGTGTATTTTCCGTTAAAAATAATACATTCATAAGCAAACCTCAATTGATTGACGATTTTTAATATAATTCTATTATTTAAACGACAATATCCAATTTTATCAATTTTATAATTGCTTTTGTTTTATTGCCTAATATTTGTATACTTAGCATCGAACAACCTAATTGCCTACAACAATGCAGCGAATTGTATGCAAAATATGTTACTCGATTTTTCCGTGTGCTTTGTACGTGTGTTGGTTGGTTAGCTATCTATAATCCCTCACCCACTTCACAAGTACCGCCCCGATTCACAATTAATTTTTCATTTTCCAATTGTTTGTTACTTGTTTAGTTTGATGCCTGGAAGCAATAGATATATTATTTATATTTATAGACCAAATAAACAACTACAAAAAATTTACATAAATAATAAAAACCGAAAACTAATTAGTGAAAGTGTTTAGCGAATTGAAAATGTGTGGCATGCATTCGATCATAAATACAATAAAAATAATAATAACGATTAAAATGATATACGAATTTATATTAAAACATGTTAAAAATAAAAACTATCCCACTACGGACTATCGAAGACGTAATATCCTTGCAAAAAATAAGAAGCGAAATAAGAGAATATTCATAATATAATATATTTTAATATATATACCTTGTTAACGGATCCGATTGCGCTGGTCAGATATTTATACATACATTATATACATTTATACATATATATGAATGGACTACTCGTATACCATTGCAAGGGTATATGGTTAAGATCGGTTAAAGTAATTGATGTAATACTTGATCAAATATTCGTATCGCTGTTTTAGAAAATCCACAGGAAACTAAATGATCCTAAACTTCACACTTTAATGAGATCCATGCAGACATTTTTGTGTATCAATTTGAAAAATTCTTAAAATATTCATTTTATGTTTTTTTCTATATCATTTGTTAATATTTCTATATCATTTAAAGTTTTCGTTTCAACATTCAAATCGTGCACACATAAACTTCATCAAAAACAAAGAAACTTAAAGCCAAACTCAATGTTAAGGTAGACATAAGACTATATGCTAAGACATAAATAAGTATATAAATACATATATGTATGTATATACGCATACATATACATATACGTATATATCAATAGGTATATACTTGCACCCGATCGTTCATGAAAACAATGATAACTCATAAAGCGAATGCTGCTCGATTTTGATATGATAATTTTTTAGCGAATTTGCCCACATTAGTCCAGGTCAACATGTTTCTGCGTTCCATATCGAAAATCGACGATTACAAAATGGTGAGTGCAGGCGCCTAGGCAGTAATCGATAATTGAACATATGCATAAGCGTAAATACATATATATACTAATACTAATGCAATTAATATCTGAATGAATGTACATGCATACAAGTACAAGTCCAAGCGCTTTAAAAATCTTGCTCAAACTATATGTTATATATATAACTTAACAAAAACAACAACAACAACTACTACTACAACAAAAATACTCTCATATCTTATTTAACTTCTGTGTATGTACGTGTGTGCGTGTGTGTGTGTGTGAGTGTATGTCTGTGTAAATTAAATTCAAGTCACAAAACCTTTGCTTTTTCAATATATATCTACATAAATACAATAGTACGAGATGTGTATCTATGTATAAATTATGAAATAAATGTTAATACTAAATATTAATTATACATATATACATAAATATATTAAATAAATGAACAATTCAATCCATTGGCTGTACAAAATTCTAAATATTTCATTTCTTCAACACCTTCCAACTGTCTTGCAAAAATTCAAAACACTTCACCAGAAATCTCTTGCACACAAAATTATATAAAAAAAAACGACAACTGTTTTCGGCTAACCGAAAGTTCTGTACTCTTGTAGAGCTGAGTTATATTCCCAACAAATTTATTTTAACTAGCAATAAAATATAATTGTCTACTCTAAGTCTGAGGTTAACTGTTGAACTCGAGACCTTCCCTACCCTTACTTCTTGAAATCATTTAATCGAAACTCAAGTATCAAGAAATTTATGTATTAGATAAGTAAACTAAGACCTTCTGAAATATTTTGACAAAACTCTTATCCCCAAGAGTATAAAGTTGTTCACTTTCATGTCAGCATTAAATTGTATTATAATTCCGACTCACCCACTTGTAAGAGATTTCTGTTTATTTATTTAGATACATATTCTTTTGTGTTTGCAAGCATACATGTCTCAATGTATGCATCTCTATCTATGTATATTTCTCAATGTACCTTAATAGAAACACGTTCAATTCTAATATGTTCTTTCACTTGAAACTATTTTATATGATTTCCTCTTCTTTTGTTTCACACGAGATCTCAGTAGGCGCGCGCTCTCTCTCTGTCTTTTAAGCCCACTTTCTCTATCTCTCTCTCTCTCTCTCTCTCTGCCTCTCTATCTTTCTCTTACTCTCCTTCGCTCTGTCGCTCTCTCTCTCTCTTTCACTCTTTTTTACACACTTTCATTCTCTCTCGTTCCCTCTCTCTCTATCTGTATCTCTAAACATATATGTATGTATATATATATAGATAAGTATATATATGTATGTACATATGTATATGCCACTTTTTCAACACTCGATGCAAATTTAAGAGAAGTTTATTGTAATTTAAGCTAGTTATTAAGTTTACATCTGTAAGTTTCTCATAGCCTAAAAACAATTCTCTACAAATTGAAACTATGTTAGTCTAAGCAAGCAAGCTAGGAAAGTAACTAACTTCAGACTCTCAATCACCTCGCCAGCATCTGCTCATTAAACAACAAATCTCACCGATTTTCAGTGCCATTCGTTTCTTTAGCCAATAAGCGTTCTTCATTTAACGTTTTAAGTGTCATATATATATATCTATTTTTGATACTCAATTGAGGACAGTAGGATAACAAGCAATGCTTACCACACATGCCACGAGTTCAACATATTTTGATTTTAGTTAAAACCCAGCTTTAACTGTAAGTATGAAAAACAATGAGTTTTCATAAAATTCAGGGACTCTGCATTTGTCATTCGCATATCCGCCACATGCAAAATAAAATCTCGTTACATTACAAATTACAGTTCCTGAACACCTAAAAAAAAAATATATCCTATTCATTCTGACAGTTGCGCCATAAAAAAACAAATAGCTGGCATCAATTTATTAAGTGGAGCCACAGTCGCATTCGAACAAATACGTATAAATGACATATAGTATAAAAACCCTTTATTTGTTATAATTATTCAAAGTTTTTTGTTGTCAGTTTTTTGCTTCATATGTTTACAAATGCCATTTGGCCTTGCATTTCTTTCATTGATATTGAGAAAAAAAAAAAGGTATACAAATAATGCAAAAAATAAAATAAATTGCCGACTTCATTATGAACAGCTAATAGGATTTTATTAATCAATTCAAGTTTCTGTTTCCCTTATAATTTATGCCTTCCGCTGAATGGAAACCCCTAGTTTATCATTTCATCTACCTATATATATATCAAATATATACAGCATGCTTTGCGAATATTTATGTTTAAGCATGCACTATTCGGGGCTAAAAAAATAAGTATGCATAGTAATAATAACTTTAACTTAACTTTGGGAGCCAGAAAACTTTGTTGTTTACCGGAAAGCTATTCAAGTCGCTGAAAATAACAATTTCTCTGGGATATTTTTAAAGTTTATTTACGAAGAGCCTTTGATACCAGCTTTTCTTTTAGAGCACAAATAAATGTATTTTTCATGAACATGTCTTTGCTCCAATTATTTTGAAAACATCCACAAATTACAAAATGAAGTGAAACAATCTCACGTGCTCAAGATTTCCAATAAACATTTTTATGAATCTTACAAAAGTTTGCATGCAGAGTTTTAAGTTAACTTTAAGAACATATTTCAATTATATAATATAACGATTTCTATATATATGTATATATTCAAATATGAATGTTTAGGTCTAGGCCAAGTTAAAATATAAGCCTGATCCTCTTACTATATCATATTGCCTGCTTTGTTGTTGCCTCAGCTGTTGGCTTTGCTTGCGCCATCGCCTTTGCTTGCTTGTGTCGCCTGCTCAATAGATATTGTATGATTGCTTATGAATTTTTGGCACGTTGCAAGCTGCTTTTGCCCTTTTTGCTTATTGCTTATTGCTTATTGCCTGCTTTGTATTTTGTATGCAACACGTTGCAATGCGCCGAACAATGCATTGGATAATGATGTTCATGCTGAATGTGGTTGATGTTGCCTGCTCAGCATCGCAGACGCATCTTGAATTGCATTTTGATTCCATTTACATACATACATACACATATACATATATATATGCATAGGATATATACAACCTTGTGTATGTGCCATGACATGAATACCACTTACATACAACCTATACCAATACCATGCCGAGAATATGCAACTAGCCGAAAAGCAAAACGCTTTTTACGACAATATATACAACAACAGTTTCAATTATATTCGCCATCATATATACTCTTCTTACTAACAAATATAAACTAACTACTCGAACAATATTTAACTAAACAAGTAAGAAAGCTCTAGTCGAGACTGCTCGACTACGAGATCCCCTGAA